TAGATACTAGCAATTTTGTTCTTTTGTATATATTGCAGGAAATCACTTCCTGGACTGTTGAACCCCTTTATGAGATACTAGCAATTTTGTTCTTTTGTATATATCTATGCTAATGATACATCATCTAATGTTTAACCAAATTGCAAATAAAAGTGTTTTGGTTGTAAGGAAGTCAAAGTTTAGAATGGATAAAGACACACATGAGTACAATAGATATGGTAATTCATGTTGGTACTTTCATTGATTTGTTAATTAGAGCATGCGACTGTAGCATTAAATGCAATATTTAGCGATGTACTTTCATTAATTTGTTAATTAGAACATCATACTTCCATTCCTTATAAATCTATATTTGCTGTTATATCTATAAACGATTTCATTTTTTGGTTTATCAAAAAATAGTTAGGCTACTAGAAGAAACTAACTCAATAAATATAAAAACCTCTCAATTACAAGTGTAATTCATTCGAAGGTGTCTATGTTGTATGTGTCTTATGTTGGAGTTTTTATATGTTATTCTTATAAATAATCTCAATGAAAATAAAGAAGAGCTTTTATATTATGATGCGATGGCAATTTGAAAGTAATTTATTAGTAAAAGGAAACTTTGAAATGAGTCAAAAACTCAAAGAGGTATACCTATACCCACCACAACAAATTCAATCTCGTGGTACCCAAAAGTTTTCATATATGATTAGTTACTATAAAAAATCGACATAACATTAAAATATTCATTTTAATAAGGAGAGCTAATTTATGCCATTGAAATGAAAAATCCATCTCTATCATTGTTAAAATTCAACAAATTATAAAATAAGAAACTATAAAAAAACGTGCATTTGACCAATACATATCTCCGCATATTAACAACATATCAATTTATATTTTTCATAATTAAATTTTGTTCGCTGCTTTAAACTAAAATTGTATATCCTTATGCATTATATGCTTTTTAAAATATATCATTTTTCGAAAGTAATTATTTGTCTCCATTTTTCCTGGATACCAAATAAATATTGCATGTTCTTTTTTTGAAACAATAAAATAGAAAACGGTATAAAAACAACAAATTAAATAAAATTATAACATTATTAAAAGATAATTATAAAGAATAAGGTCTAATTGGTCCAACATAGTTTGTTTGTTCAACGTGCATTCCAAGCCAGACGATCAAGGATGGTCAGACACTAAATTTATACTTTTGTATTATTATACTCTATGCAAATTTATATTATATTTTATAAATCATACTTATATTAATTGTCTTAACATACAAACGTATATCATATATTATAATAAATATTTATATTAATTTTAAATAATCAATATAAAAAAAATTTTAAAAATTAAAACTTATTAATTTAATAAAATTTAAAAAATATTTTACCCATGGTTTTTACGGGTCGTAACCTATTTTTTTTATATATATATATATATATATATATATATATATATATATATATATAGATATATATATCTTTTTGTTTTGTTTTTTTTAACATTTTCAAGTTTCAATTCTTTTCGGGTGCCATGGTGATGTTGATTTTGAAAATTTATGAAAAAAATACAAAATATTCATATATGTATATTTTGGAAGGAAAGAAAAGATCTCTCCTTCTTTTTTTTTTTTTTTTTTTTTTTTCTTTTTTTTTGTGTGACTTTTGACATGCAAAACGAGATGTCTAGGTGGTTATGAAGATTTTATTTGTTTTTTTATTTTTTTATTTTTAGAAACTGGTTATCAAAATAACTCAATTATATATAATATAATATAATAAACTAATGATACATATAGAAATAATAAAAATAACATTTTATAATAGTATTTAGATTTTATCATTAATAAAAAAAAAATAGTTGTTATAATGATAACCATAACATACCAATAAACAATATTTTATGTTCAACCACAACGAGTTTAAAGAAATCTAACATTCTTTTAGCAGTAAAAGAAATTAAAATTCAAATTATCCCATTTTTGGAATAATAAAATATATACATTTAAAAAAGAAATTCAATTCTAGTAACGTATCCACCAAATTTATAACGTGGTTAAACATCATTTTCAATCCGTTTAGATTTGATCGAAATCCACAGATCAAATTGTCTTTAAACCAGTTATTCAAACGGTCACAAATTTAGAAGCAAATGATACATGCAATTACAAAATTAAACTTTCCAATTTTCTTAATATTGAAAGTTAAAGCTTTTATCGTATATTTTTCTTTAATTCAACATTAAAGACATACATTAATAATATATTTACTGCTTTAAATCATTTTTTAAGTAGAAAGTATATATTACTAAATATAATAACTATATATTTTATATTTTTTTAATTGAAAAAATATATTTTATCATCGGGTTAATATCATAAAAGATTTAATATATATATAATATATATATATATATATATATATATATATAGAGAGAGAGAGAGAGAGAGAGAGAGAGAGGTTTAAATGTTTCTCACATTATTGTGTGTTAAAATGCACCAACAAAAATTTAATAAAAATTAAATTATTATTTAATCAAATAAATATAGATATTAAATGATTTCCATAATTATATGTATATTAAATGATATCCATACTTATAATTCTTTTTTTATGAAAACTAATTAAATTCACCATTAATGTCAACAATAATATTCTTTCAAAATGAATTCGTATCTAGAAGAATGAGAGTGTAGTATAGCAGAATAAGAGTGTATTCTAGTAGAATACACTCTCGTTCTTCATATTCCATGCAACTTTATTGTATTTTAAGTGAACGAGTCCTGAAACAAAACACGAACCCATATATAAAAACCTAGATGCGAATTCATTCTGAAAAAAATGTTATTGTTGACATTAATGACGAATTTAATTAGGTTCCATAACAAGAGAATTATAATTATGGATATAATTTTATATACATACAATTATGGAAATCATTTAATATCTATATTTATTTAATTAAATAATTAATTAATTTTACTAAATTTCTGTTGGTGTATTTTAACACACAATAAATATAAAAAACACATTAACCTAACTATATATATATATATATATATATATATATATATATATATATATATATATATATATATATAGAGAGAGAGACGAGAGAGAGAGACAGAGAGAGAGATAGAGGTAAGTTCAAATATTTCTCACATCTATTGTGTGCTAAAGTGTACCAATAAAAATTTAGTAAAAGTTAAATTATTATTTAATCAAATAAAGATAGATATTAAATGATTTCCATAATTATATGTATATTAAATGATATGTATACTTATAATTTATTTTTTATGGAAACTAAATAAATTCGTCATTAATGTCAACAATAATATTCTTTTAGAATGAATTCGTATGTAGAAGAATAAGAGTGTATTATAGTAGAATGCACTCTCGTTCTTCATATTCCATGCAACTTTATTGTATTTTAAGTGAATGAGTACTGAAACAAAACATGAACCCAAACATAAAAACCTAGATGCAAATTCATTCTGAAAGAATGTTATTGCTGGCATTAATGACGAACTTAATTATTTTCAATAAAAACATAATTATAATTATGGATATAATTTAATATACATAGAATTATGGAAATCATTTAATATCTATATTTATTTATTTAAATAATTATTTAATTTTACTAAATTTCTATTGGTAAATTCTAACACACAATAAATATAAGCTATATATATATATCTAATATATATATATATATATATATATATATCTATATATATATACACACACCAATTATTTTCTCTTATTTTTTTCTATTTAACAATTTTAGCAGTTTTTTAATTGTTTTTTTTTTCAAATGCTAAGGTTTTCTAAAAAAACAAAAACCTAGTCGAGAGATTTTTAGGAGAAAATGAAAATTACAAGATTTTTTTTAGAAAAAAAGGATTTAATTAACAAAAATCCTATATTAGATTTTCATGATATATAATATATATATATATATATATATATATATATATATATATATATATATATATATATATATATATATATACTGTATTTGTAATTTTTTATCAATTGGTTTTTGAGTTGTAGTTACTGTAATAAACTAAAGTGAGTTATGTTTTGTACTTACCGCGTTGATTGCATCTATATAAAGGAGCGGTAAACTCTTTATTTGGGCTTCGGATGCACCTTCTTCCTCTCCTTCTGCAGGTAACCAAATCCTTCTTTCTTTCTTCTTCTTCTTCTTCTTCTCTATAAAGCCTCGAATCAATCTTTTCTTTGTGCTTGTTCATCGAAATTGTTAGAACTTTTTGTAGCTTATATGCTAATTTTTCCTTATATGGATTTCGCTGGATTGCTTTCCCCCCCTTTAATTACCATTTCTATACACGATTTCCCCTTTAAATGATTCTGCTGCTGCAGATGATTTCAAGCAAACGAATATCAGATAACTTTTGTGAACAGTATCGAATTTTTTCATGGAGTTGGTCAATTGAGTTGTAAGGTGGTTGGGATGATCTAGGGTTTTTATTTGACATAGAGACATCAATAGCAACGACTTAATTATGAGTTTTTAATAATTTTATTGGTAATTCTCCTCCTTTTTTTTTCATTTTCGTGCTGTTTATGATATAAAATTTGGGTTTCTTTGATTCTGGAATTGGTTCTATTGTAATTCAAAGCAATTCATACTTTAAAATTAAAAAAATCGAAATGATACTTGTTGATTTATGATATTAAATTGGATTTCATTAGGGTTTATATCAAGTTGTAACCTTTTTTGGAGGATTCAAGGAAGGTTTAATGTAATATCCGATTTCCTTTTTTCAATGATTGTTTTGCTAATATCCTCCAAAGAAGAGGTTCTTAACACGTAATGTGTAATTCACTTCTTTCCTCTTCTTCTGATCTCATTGAATACACCTAGGAGTCTAGATCTTCTCTGTAACAGATTATTCTACATAATTTGATATGTGTACTCTTATTTCATTCAGAGTGAGAGGTTGTTTGTGCTTATCTGCATTGCAAGAACAGATGACAAGAGGAAATGGTGTTGGTGTCAAGGGAAATAAGCGGAGAAAGATTCAACAAAGAGAGGAATCAGAGGAGTCAGATGAGGAATATAATGTGGCTGAAGATGAAGATAGTGATGAGTCAGATGAGTGCTATTCCTTAGATGGTGATGAATCAGAAGAGATATTAGCTGATTTTGGAAAGTCACGGAGGGTTGCTAGATCAAGAAACACCCGGAGGACTTCTGCAGGTAGGAAGGGGAATGAGATAGCAAAGCCTCGTAAGAGGAGAAGGGTTTCTTATACTGGTGATGATGATGATGATGATGAAGAGTTTATGTCTTTGGGTAAGAAAGCTAAGCGGATAAAGAAACCTAGGGAAAAGAAGAGGGTTTCATATACAGAAATGGATGATGATGATGATGATGATGATGAAGAGTTTATGTCTTTAGGTAGGGAAGCTAAGCAGAGGGAAAAGAAGAGGGTTTCGTATACAGAAGATGATGATGATGATGACTTTGGAGGATTAATGTTTTCAAATAGAAACCAGAGAAAGAAGCCTCAGGAAAAGAAAAGGGTTTCCTATACAGAAGAAGAAGATGATGATGATGATGCAGGATTTATGTCTTCGGGTAGGGAAAGTAGCCGGATAAAGAAGCCTGTGGAAAAAAAGAGGGTTTCATATACAAAAGATGATGATGATGAGGAGGAGGAGGATGATGACTATGCAGAATTTGTGTCTTTGGGTAGAAAGAGAAACCAGAGACAGAAACCTAAGGAAAAGAAGAGGGTTTCGTATACAGAAGAGGATGAAGATGATGATGATGATGTAGAATTTATGTCATCAGGTAGGGAAGGTAAACAGATAAAGAAGCCTAGGGAAAAGAAGAAGGTTTCATATACAGAAGAGGATGATGATGTAGAGGACTATTTGGAATTCATGTCTTCAGGTAGAAAGAGAAGCCAGAGAAAGAAGTGTCACGAAGAGAAGAGGGTTTCGTATACAGAAGAGCATGAGGATAATGATGATGCAGAGTTTATGTCTTTGGGTAAGGAATGTAACCAAGTAAACAACCCTAGGGAAAAGAAGAGGGTTTCATGTGCAGAAGAGGATGTTGATGATGATGAGGACTATGCGGAATTCGAGTCTGAGGGTAGAAACCAAATAAAGAATAGGGTTTCAGATACAGAAGAGGATGAGGATGATGCAGAATTTATGTCTTCAGGTAGGGAGGCTAACCAAATAAAGAAGCCTAGGGAAAAGAATAGAGTTTCATATAGAGAAGAAGAAGATGATGATGATGAAGAGGACTATGCAGAATTTGTGTCTACTGGTAGAAATAGAACCCAAAGAAAAAAGCCTCAAAAGATGGTTTCGGATACAGAAGCAGATGATGATGCAGAATTCATGTCTTTGGATAGTGAAGCTAACAAGATAAAGAAGCCTATGGAATTGAAGAGGGTTTCATGTACAGAAGGGGATGATGATGATGATCTTGGTAATGATGATGTTGGTGATGATGATGAAGAGGATGAAGAATTTGTATCTTTGAGTAGGGAAGGTAAACAGACAAAGAAGCCCAGGGAAAAGACATATACAGAAGAGTATGATGATGATGATGGTGATGATGATGATGATGAGGTTGATGGTAGGGAAGATAACCAAGATAAAGAACCCTGAGGAAAAGAAAAGGATTTTATGTACAAAAGAGGATGATGATAATGATGATGAGGGAGAGTATGCAGGATTTGTCTCTTTGGGTAGAAAGAAGCCTCAAGAAAAGGAGAGGGTTTCAGACACTGAAGAAGATGATGATGATGATGATGATGATGATGATGATGATGATGGAGAGTTTATGTATCCAGGTGAGAAGGTAAACCAGAAAAAGAATCTTCGTGAGAAGAGGAAGGTTTCATACACAGAAGATGATTCTGAGTTTATTTCCACAAGTAACAAGTCAAACCCAATAAATGCCCCTCAAGAAAAAAGTAGGATTTCATCTGAAGAAGACAATCAAGAAGAAGAAGAAGATGAAAACGATGCAGAATTCAAGTTAAGTGAGAGTGATTTTCTTGATGATGAAGACGAAACACTAAAGATGAAAAAACCCGAGAAACCACCACAAAAAAAGAGTATCCGTGGAAGACATAAAAAGACCAAAAAGACGAAAAGCCCACAAGGACAAAACAAAGGATTCCCCGAAAGGTAGCTTCTACTAAAGAGAAAAAGACGAAAAAGCCCACACCAGAATCCGATTCAGATTTTGTGAGTCCTCCATCATCCGACCATGAATACACCATTTCAGAAGAAGAAAGAGAACAAATGAGAGAAGCAAGGGTATACTGTGCAAATCTAAGAGCTAAATTAAGAAGCTCCTCCTCTCAAAATCAAGAAGAAACCCAAAGAAAATACCCAATAAGAAAAGGTAAAGAAAAGCTGGAAGAAAACACAAAAGATGAAATAGGAAAACAAGTTTGTGGAATCTGTCTATCAGAAGAAGCAAAAAGAACTGTTAGAGGTGTCCTAAATTGTTGTCGCCATTACTTCTGTTTCTCATGCATTATGGAATGGTCAAAAGTGGAATCCCGTTGCCCTTTATGTAAACAAAGATTTTCAACAATCACAAAAGCTGCAAAATCAGACACTGGATTTGACTCAAGAACAGTTGTCATCCCTGTTCCTGAATGTGACCAGGTTAGTAATCTAATTATTTTACTGAAATGTAAGGGTAAAATGGTCATTTATTAAAAGAATTGTTTGTTGTTGACAGGTATATGAGCCATCTGAAGAAGAGTTAAGGGGGTATCTTGACCCATATGAAAGTGTGATATGTACAGAGTGTCAGCATGGAGGGGAAGATGCATTAATGTTGTTATGTGACATATGCGATTCATCTGCACATACTTTTTGTGTTGGTCTAGGAAGGGAGGTTCCGGAAGGAAATTGGTATTGTGACGGCTGTAGGCCCACTGTTTTCGGTTCCTTAAACTCATCAGATCCTTTACCAACATCTTCCAGATCTCCCATTCCCGGAGGTTTCGATTTAAACGAATTATATGTTCCCGAAACGCCCCTCACACAACAACAACAATCTCAACCTCAATCTCAACAAACACGTGTTTTGGTTTTACCTGAACCTGGTGATTTTACACCTGCTACTACTTTAAGAGATAGGAGAAGAATACATCGCCAAATACATCATCGGTTTTTGAATAATAATAGAATGAATGATTTTGTGAATCGAAATGGAAGAAGTTCTTCAGGGATTAGGTTATTTGGGTCTCAACTTGATCAACCTCAAAGTCAAAGGGATGATCATGTTGGTGTTGCTGCTGACGTGTCATTGGAAGGTGAACATGGTGGGCCCGGTTTGGGTTTGGGTTTTGATTCAAGATTGGGATTTGGACAACTACACCCTTGTACAAATAGATCCAGCATTGGTTCTGATGCATGCAGAGAGGTGAGTCTAAGTGTTAAATGCAAGAAAATAGCATCCTACTTCCATTTCTATTCATTACAACAAAATTTTTTCTTTAAATAAGTTACATTTTTGGTCCTTGGGCGTAGCTGATTTTTGCAATTTTCGTCCCAAAAAGTTTTCTTGCTATTTTGGTTCTTGTAACATGACCATGTTCCAAATAAAATGTGACTATTAAAGTCTTTGAGGAAAGCTGATTTTTGCAATGTTGGTCCTAAAAAGTCATTTTACGTGAGACAAGGACCAAAAACGTTATAAAAACTTCAAATAAGGACCAAAATTGCAAGAGAACTTTTTGTGACCAAAACTGAAAAAATCAGCTATACTTAGGGACCAAAAACGTAATTTACTATTTTTCTTATTACGGTTTGAAAAATCCGATTTAGTTATAGCATTGTACTTTTGATCTTTTTTATATACTTCAGAAAATATACCCAAATATAGTTATGTAAATTGCTTTGCATACAGATGAAAATTTCATATTTTTGCAGGTTGTGGGACCCTCGAGAACATCGCAAGGCGGTTTTCATGCACCATATTAATTAACTATATTATATACAGCTGTCAAAGCTCAAATTTACTTGAAATATTTTCAAAAGCTGTATAAAAAAAATAACCATTATTTCCCAGTTTGATTACCCTCCCCAACCACCAAAATTCATTATTCTGTTTATCATTTAACACCATTTATACAATGGTCAACCATTTTGATAAATATCTGATGTGTACGTCGTGCAGTGGAATTTGTACCTTGTCCTCAGTTTTATATCTATATATTTTAATATGGAAAAGACCTACCAATAATCCACCTCAAAAGTAGTTGTACCCTTGTGGCTATAATTGAGCAGTTGAAACTTGAAAAGTAATGAGATTTTATAAAAATGGGTAATGATTGATGAATGTGACAATATTATTGGTCATGTTCATAAAGTTTTCTATGCTATTCTGTGCAATAGGGTTGGGCGCTATTTGAATAAGATAATGCGAGGGTACTTTTTTAGATTTTAAAAATTAGTAAGGTGGTTATTAATGTATTCTTTACGTTTATATAAAAAGTTAAATGATAAAAAATAAATAATAGTTTGATAAAATATTGTGTTTTAAAAAAATACTTAAAACTGATTGAATTGAAGTTTAAGATTGTGGTGATTTTGGATTGTTGCGTTTTAAAAGTTATAATCACAAAAATGATAAAAATTGAGATATGACTCATAAATAAATAAAAAATTGTAGAAAAAATAAACAAAAATGGATTGTTTTACCATTTGACCATCTTTTTAATTTATTTTTGGATGAGTTCATTTAGCGAAATCGCTTCTGTATTGGTATCCATTACATTTTTCTAAAGAAAACCAATAAACATTTCTTTCTTAAAATGATGTAATTTAGACCATCAAGTATCAAGTATACATACCCCGAAGGTGGACACAAGTGTCAGACGTGGCTCCAGCGACCAGCGGTTTATTTTCTGCTCCTCTTTTTTCTATTACTAGAAAGTTCCCCCCGCGTTGCGGGGTCGGAAGGTGTTGCTTTTGCGTGAAAATAAAGTACATTGCCTAAGTTGTTAGCGACAATAAAATACGTTGCCATTGTAGGAGATTTGTCCATTTACAAACGTGTAAATACAATCCAATAATTGGATAGAATTTTTAAAAACCAACCTGCTCATGCCTATAAAAAAAAAGTAATGTATAATAAAAATCATTTAAATTAATATATAATCATTATAAATCCATATTTCATAAATAAAACATCGTTAAATATTTAATAGAAATCATATTTACAAGCATGTGAAGGTAAGGTCCCTTCTCATTTTCAACACAATGACCATATTTTTTATTATGGCAGATCCTTTATAACGAACATTTAAATACCCACAACTATTAATACATAAAACAAAAAATTATTGCAACAAAATTGCACTTGATTTGACAAAAAAAATGTTTTTTACTTCAAATCAATGAATATATTAACACAATTTCAGTCAAAACTCATGGTAAATACATAAGCTACAACTTTATGTAAAATCATATAATAAAAAGAACACATACACTTCCATACTCTATAAATCTGAGGGTGATTGAGGTTGCGGTGGCTAAATGGCCCAAAAACTCGGATTAGATGTCATACATTCATCTTTCAATATCCTTTCCCGGGACAATATCAACCAAAGTGGATTTGCCAAACTGTGGAGTAATCTGTCCCAACAAAGTAAATTAAGTACAAAGACCAGATTACACATAAATGTAAACATTAGATGACACACATATAGACATAAATTCATATCATATCACACAGATACTAATCAGATATCAGATTACATACACATACAATTACAACCATTAGTTTCAACCTTGGGTGCAGCATGGTGAAAGAAAGTGAAATCAGGTGTGGGTTGAAAGTCAACATAAAACATGGAAACAAATTCATAATCTCTAATATAACACCTGTGAACAACATTTGTACCTTTATTTTTCCATTTATCAACCTTGTCCGTGATCAACAGTTGGTCGTAGGGTTATCATAATCTTATCAATGGGGAAGATTCAGCTATCGCTTCCTTGTAGAATTATCTATCTCCAAAAAACCAACAACAACAATCGGTTTTTCTGAAATGGAAAGAAAAGTGTAGAAAGAAAGCACAAAATTACCAACCTCAGAGCAGAACCTCAACGAAGATGATGGACAAGACGGAAAATCAAGGACAGGAATGGCAATTTCAATACAATTTAGACGAAGACGGTCGTTGTTGATATCAAACTTTTGTTCATAACAGTTGCCACCCGATTTCTAGATGTTAGGTGATCGCGTCGAGGACGTCTGTGTGGCGATCGGATTCTTGGCGGATGTCGAGTTTGACTAAGGAGAGACCGAATGTTGTCGCCACATGTGCATAGGGATCGGTAGCATACCTCGAGGGGTTCCAAGAACTGTAAATAAAAAAAAAAGTTGTTAAAGATTTGAGCAAATGAAGGGAAATTTGCATATGGTTTGAAACATAGTAGGGCATCCCTCAACGGGGGGTCATTGGCCAATGCCCAGACCACCGATCAAAGAAAGTTTGGGAGTATTCAACTATTTCTCTATTCAATGAAGCAATATCACAAACACTTCGTGTGCAACCTTAGATACAAATATTAGGATTGAAATGTTACCTTGTAAAAGAACCGCTCAAGTAAGGGAGCCAGGGGGCCGAGGGAGAGACAGTCGACCGAGGCGTTCCGGCCACCGGAGAGGATGCTGGAGGCCTCGGAAGTTGCGCCGCCGGAGCTGAAGATTTATCAGCGGTGATAGACCATATGTGACAGCTCTGTATATCATGTAAACCATTTCACCGCCTTTAATCGCCCCCATTTTGGAATCCGTTTTGAGTTCAAGCGGGTCTTTACTAAAGTCAGTGGAGTGGACCTATAAAGCTTTACACCAGTTTCACTCAAATATGGCTGATGGCATGATTGGATAAAAAATTAGGGCTCACTTGGGTACATACCTTCAAAATCGAAGCCAAGCATGAATTCACCTTCCATTTCTTCCTGTTTTTATTTGAAAGCGTTCAGGGAAGAGAGCAGTGGAGACGATCGAAAAAACAGTATCGGAAGCTCTGCTTGAGGCTGCAGCCGGAGAGGTGGTGGGCGGCAGGAGAAGAGAAGAAGATCACCTGCAATAGAAGGAACCAACGAAGTCTGGAAAGAGCAGGCCACGAAGAAGGAAAGAGATAGAGAAAAGAAGAAGAAGGAAACACGTGGAAAATAAAGGAAGCAGAAGAGAACACGTGTAAAGTCAAAGGCAGGAAAAATGTAAAAGAAATAGATTTGACACACTAACGACAAAAAAATGAAAAAAATAAACCACAATAGAAATAGGCAAAACAGAATTAACAAAGTTACACACAAACAAAAATAGAGGGACCGGAAATATAATTTAAGGGACCAAAATTGGCCAAAATGTCTCAGGTTTACTATTAAAACTTTTCATAACTTTAATATATATATATATATATATATATATATATATATATATATATATAATAATAATAATAATAGGTATTAGAAAATACACGAAAGATAAAAAATGAATATAAGATTTATTTTCACTAATGTGTCTATCACTATTTGACATGACATAAGAGTTAATGAACTAGAAGGATAATGAATTTTGATCTTTGTCAATATTTAACTAATCAGGTTTTTTTTTTCATATATATTTGACCATTAAACTTGGTTGTCCTTTTCAAAATAGGGTAATATGACATTTAATTATCAGTAATATTACCTTATCATGAACATACCAAGCAGGTTTACTGGTGAAACGTATATAAAAAAACATGGTTATCTAAATATGGACAAAAACCAAAATTCATTACCTGTTTTGGTAATATTGAGTTCTTTATGTTAAGTGCAAGTAGTAAGACTCACTGATATGACATATAATCGGGCTATCAGGAGGTCATGGTTAGACATGCACAAAAAAACCGGTTCACGATCCGAACCTGTGGCCGAACCGAAAACCAGTTCATCCTTGAACTGGTCCACTGTTGAACGATCCGATGCCGAACCGAACCGCCGGTTTGTAGTAATTCGGATTTCAAGCCGTTCAAACCGGTCTAGAGAACCGATTTTGAACTGGTTTTGAACCGGTCTAGAGAACCGGTTTTAAACCGATCTTACAAATTAACCATGTATATATTACCCATAATATCCTAAGAAACAAAACAAACATTGTAAAAAAGAAGCAATTACGTCGGTTTTTTTTTGAGCTGGTTCAAGGAACCGGTTGTGAACAGGTTTATGGTGAACCGGTTTGTACTAAACCGAACCGATTTGTATAAGTTCAAATTATTTTGGTGGTGAACGGGTTTGAAACCAAACAGGTTTAAGGGTGAATCGGTGTTGACTAGAACCAAACCGGTCCACTGAACCGAACCGGTTCAGAAAAAAACCGGTTTGTGCACCTCTAGTCATGGTGTCATATCTGGAGAAGGTATAGTTAGCGTGCCCTAAAGCACACACAACCTAGCGCCTGACTAGTTGAGCCTGAACTGGGCTGGCCCAAAGACCGTATCATCTCCTCATATACATCGATCTAATTTGATCGTTTGAGTCTGCTCACTAGTTACGATCTATGATGTTGTCTAATGGTTTTGTTATCTGATGACAGCTAGGAATCAAGTCACTAACTCACTAACGACACGTACTTTAGATCTACAATCTAGATATGACACCAAGACCCGATGGCCTGATTCCATGTTACATCTGTGTGTCTTATGACTACTTGCATTTACAATAAAGAACTCAATATTACCAAAATAAGTAAAGAATTTTATTTTAACTATTTTTTTATATACATTTGAGTAGTAAACTTATTTGATTTATTCATAATAAGGTAATATCATCCATAATTACCGGTCATATTCCTCTATTTTGAACAGGTCAAACAAATTTAATGGTTAAATGTGTAAAAAAAACACGATTGTCTAAATGTGGACAAAAACATGGAACTGAAGCCAAATTGACACAACACAAAACGCATATAAATAAAGCGGTATTTTTTTGGATGTTATTGTTTATATTTTTGATTTTTTATCTTCATTTTGTTGTTTTTGTTTTTTATTTTTTTATCATTTTGTTGTTTTTTTCTTTTTTGTTGGCTGGAGCTATCATTGTATTATTTTTTTTTGTTCGGACTATCATATGTAATTTTTCTGTTCGGACTATCCATGTGTTATTTTTTCGTTTTGG